CGAGGTTCGAACCAGTGATCTTAGCGTCGTAGTTGCCTAAGACGGCGCTAATTATAGTGAGGGCAATTTTGTTTTATTATCCTTTCGCTGGTTTTTTAATGTAATACCTTTAACAACGACGCGAAGTGAGACTTGACACTCGTACTACGATCAGACGCCATGCACCAGGTTTCGAATCAACACCCCAGAAACGAACCGCGGCTCAAACCTCAGTGTAATGACCATAACCACTTGAGAGAAAGCGCTTGATATTGCTGGAATTTGATTGCGGGATCTCACAAGCACTTGTCTGATGATTGATCACATTCTCTCTCGCCATTTCGATCGTAAAGGCTGGCAGCTTTACAGCCCCGACAAGAGAAGCCCAGCTATTGAATCAAGTAAACACTCCAGGATTGATGAATTGCGGCTTTGTTTGGATGCTTAACTTTCAGATGACCAAATGAAGGCTCCATGATCCATCAGTTTGTTCCATGTGAATGCGTGTGGGGTAAACAATTTCATTCTGTCTTGTTTTCTACCCATTTCATAATGTATTGGAGCCCTAAGCTCTATTAACAGCTCTTAATGCCCTTCTAGGTGATAATGGAATAACATTTTCGTTTATAATCTTGGCTCGTCAGTGTTTCTTGGCTTTTGTGACGAAAGTGGGAAATTCTGTTGTATGTGTAAACTTCAGACTAGCTTGCTGATGTAAACTGACACCTTGGAGCACAAAATCTAACAGTCGTTCATCATGCCAAGAGCCTTATCTGTTTTTATTTATCTGAAGTTTATTTGGCGTCCAGTATGAGATTGTCGAGGTTGGTCTTCTGGGTTTTAACGCCGTCTTCAGTTATGTAGGCTGTACGTTACTTCGAAATCACAATACACCAAGGTTGTCCAACTTTTTCTTTCCTTTCCTGGGTCAGAAATAGTCTTTCCGTTGGACTCAAGGGCTAGGGAACCCATCCTGGCACTGGTTTTCAAAACTAATAGCCAATTTTAGTCATTTTTAACAATAGTTATTCAGATATTACAAATTGCCATAGTATATTGTATTTAAATGCGCAAAAACTAATATCGGATAAATATTATTTTAAAATTGCTCGTATCAGGTACATTTTTTTTACCTCGAGAACTTGCATTTTACGGTAGGGTTTTAAACTCAATATAATTTATATCACTTGTACGGAAAGCATTTTTTTAATCTTTCAGAGTTCCGAAAATAAATTACCTTTTAGTAACTGAAACAAAGCGACAAATCGTTTCGCGGGCGTGCTTAGAAGTGGTCTTGGACCGGATGTGGCCCACGGGCCGCCGCTTTGATCACGCTGTTTTATGGCTCTTCATAACTACATGGGTCAACATTTCCGCCACTTCTCACAACGAGCTATTAAGGTAACATGCCAGCATGTAAACGCCACATGGAACGTCTCTGTACAGACAAGTTCTACTTCTGTCGTCCACCCACTCATCGATTCATTGCCTTCAAAGTTGAACGTCCGGTCTGTTCGCCGAACACGCTGTTGGCCATCTGTTTTCTGTATAACGTCCAGGGTCTTTTCGAAAACGTCATTTGTAGTCGAGCTAAATACAGGTTGCAGTATTTTCCCTTTCCTTAATTTTTACTGTTTTGTAAAGACTGGAAGAAGACGTGGTGTGAGGACGGAGATGCATATTTGGGTCAAATCAAGGAGGATGAGATGGGCAGGGCATTTAGAGCGCATGGATAGAGGAGAAATGCTTATAAAATGTTGATTGGGAAGCCCGAAAGGAAGATACCGCTTGGAAAATCTGGCGTATGTGGGGGGATAATATTAAAATGTGTCTTAGGGAACTAGCTCAGGAAAGGAATCGGTGGCAGGTCCTTATGAACGCGGTAATGAATCTTAGGGTTTGATAAAAGGCGGGAAAATTCTTCAAAAACTCGGTAACTGCTGCCTTCACAAGGAGGAATCTGCTTCATGGAGTTAGTTGGTTTGTTCAGATATGTTTTGAAAAACGGTCATACGGACATGATGATGCCATTAAGTCTACATTTCCATGCAGAATATAAAATCATAACCGTTTAATCCCACTTTTTGCAATAATTTCCGTTGAATTTAATCCCGATTGTAATCATTGTGATATTAATTATGTAACTATGACGGTTGTAATTTCTTTTCCTTGTACAATTTTATACCACATGGATAATTTTAGTCTCTAAATGTGACTTCGTAAGATTATTTTATGACTTTTTTGCCTTTATGGTGCTACGTATTATAGAACTCGAAGCTAGGAACGCCTTCTTTACATTAAATGAGTGTGGCAGGCCGGTGTAACGAGTTCGCGAGGCCCTAAGCTCCGCCCCCGTAAATATTAAGAAAACTGTATAAAGAATTATTAATAGACCTTAAAGTTTTGCCTTGGATAATTATAGGGACAAACTTTTTCATGACAGGGAATAATTTAACGATGAAACAAGCAGGTTGCTTTTAACGTGCATTCACCTTTTATTACTAAAGATTCAAAACTCTGTTGATCTTATCATAATTTATTTTTAGCGTGAATAGAATCTTTGGATTTACGGGGGGCCATTCAGACATGTTAGTATGGACATTAAAAGTTCTAAGTATTTAGAGGTTCTGTTCCCAAATGGTCAGGCTCAATGCTGTAGCTTACTGATCCTAGACATGAATCTGACGTTGAGTGTTTGCTAGGCATGTCCAGAGCATCAGTGTTACCGTAGACACAGAACACCTCGAAATACTGACACTTTCAAATGTCACTTGAGCCCAGCATCTGACTGTCAGCAGTTCCATTGAGTGTCGTATGCAGATGTGAAGAACAAACTCAGATCGCTGCACTTTTTACCAGGCACTGCCGAGCGAAGGCCTTCAGAATAATGTTTTTTGAGGCCTTATTACCTATGTTGTCGTACTCGATTGCCTGCATTTAACGCGTTTTAATAAATAATCTTTTCCAGGTATCAAAAACTTCTGTTCGGTTAATGGTTCTCAAGTTTCCAGATCATTTTTTTCCCTTCCAGAATGAGATAATAGCCGAGTCTCGTCGATTCATAACAGGTTCTTTTTAAGTAGAGAAATCGTAATTTTATGTCCACCTAATAACTATTATTAGCAGGACTCTTTTGTGGATGCATGCAAGAATTTCCAACCGTAGCGTCGCTACGGAAGCTTAATCATTTCATTGTCAGATTATTTGAAACCAAAGATGGCTGTCTTCTGGGTTGTAGAGCGCCGTGTGGTCTGGTAGAAGTTTACCAGGGTTTCAGAAATTCAAACTGCCTCCATCATCAGGACGATCATCGCTCATTGCCCAGGTGTACGGTGGCATTACGTTTTAAGTGTAATTAATATTTCCATTTTAATTGTTTGATACGTTAACGAGCGGGAAGATGGAGTGCAGTTAATTCGACTTAACACCAAGCAACCGGAAGATGTGCACATTTTTAAACTTTCTGGCCTGTGATGAACTTGAATCCAGAAGCTATGAATTCCAATCTGCGGTCACTGGCTTTCAGCACAGGCTGTACTTGGATGAATGAAACCTTCTAGTTGATAGTGTGAGCGATACTTTTTGTTGTGCTAGTACCACTGTAAAGAAAGAAAGATAGGCGGCCTTCGTCGGGTTTAAGATGCTAAACCTAAGGCCAGCGGCAGTGAAGCTTGGCAGCCTCCAAACCCGATTCAGAGAATGAGAGGCAGCGACTGCTCAGTTGTCAGTAGGGACTCATTGAGTGCGTTTGTTGCCAGGTCGTGTGCTGAAGCTGCGCTTTCTTCTGCTATTACAAATTACAACGCGACGTGATTTGGTGGAAAAGTGTGTGTTCGTGTGTGAAGTTCGAGCTAAGAGCGGCAGGAGACGTACAAAAATAGTACGCTGATGTGTATGTGGGGATTCCCGCCTTGCTTATGTGTCGCAGAAGTAATCTCCGGAGACGGTGAACCATGGAGTTCGACCCTTCTTTCCGGCAATCACTTTCTCGTTCTTGGAAGTGATGTTTGAACGCGTCAAATTACGGTGGCTCTGTTCTTAGGCTCAAGACGAAACATGAAATAAGAGGTCTCCTTGCAGTCCTACTTTGTTATATTTACATAAATATGTGTAAAATGCGTGTATGAGAGCCATTTTGAAAGGAGGTTAACGGGTTGAACACCTTGAAATGACGGGGTTTGTTTAAAATGTAATTACTCGTATGTAACAACGTTTAGTTCGGAAAGTAATGCAGTGAATGAACGGACCAATGTTGAAGTTCCAGTCTCTGGCTTAATGATTTTGGCTCGTGTCATTAGAGTAATTGATTCTGTAACTAAATAAGATTTTTTAGAATGTTTTTCCAAGCCACGAAGAGAGTTTTAGCATTACATACCCTATCCAAATTGATTATTTATATTGTATAAAATCAAGTAACGAGCTAAAAATATGTTTTTCTTTGTCGGAACATACGCTATAACATTTATTTATATTAGGGCGCGGTTATTTAATGTGTGTGTGTGTGTGTGCATGTGTTGAAATTGTTTTAAATATTCTATATCTCCCGTTGTGAATCTGGAATAATACAATTTGCGTATATCCCCAGAAGTTCTAACAAGACAACTAACTTGCTTGCCTGCATTGCTGCATAGCAGTTGTGGAGGATGGGTTGTAGATAACATAGTTCGTCAACTTGGATGACCGTGATGAAAATTTGCAGATTTTTAAGAAACTGCAGTGTGTTTTGTTCGTGAACAGTTGATAGTCATTGAGTGGCTGTTTAAGAAATGTCTTGGTTGTTATAGAACCAGGGGATAAATCCATTCCATAAGTTCACGACCTAGAACCTTAAGCTCCATTTTGTTATTTTTCACTTTCTGATTTACTATAAAATACCGATAATTCAATCTTCAACCTAGCACTGTTAATGCACACAGATGAGAAATTCAGACACAGTGATTGTGTATGATGTTTCAAACATAGGCATGGAAATGGTGTGATACAACGTAATTTTAATGCTGTATTTTACGTATAAAATGACAGTAACATCAGTGCAGCAATTTGTTTGCATGATTTGCCATACGTCACACAACAGAAAACAAAACTGGATTAGTACATGATTCATAGCCACCTGAAAACGCTGAATCAGCTTTGAAACATGTTGTGGTTTGCATGGGAGTGGACCGAATATTTTAATATTAAGATAACGGTACGTGTGTCACGGCAGAATATTTGTAAAAGTTTGCATTTGTGCCTAGACCTCCCAGACGGTCATCTGAGGATTTAGTAACCAAAAGTTTGCTTTTATATCCGATAATTATTAACGATTATATGTAATTGTTATTTTCATTTCGTGGAGCGTCTCGTATGGGCTATGAATTCGTAGACCGTTTTAATTTTACCATAGCCCTGTTTAATTCCGTAATATCCGTATTATCTGAATTCCAAATTCACATGGCTCAAGCGGATATTCTGTAATATTATTGTTGAACTAGGCTTATGTTTCGAATTAACATTTGCATTACAATAAGCCGTCCTGTAATCTTTAAATCGTGTTTAACATTAATAGGCTATAGTACTTTGTGTCTATAAATTGACGATACTATCGAAATAACTGGCTTTGACGGAGGTATATAGTGGACTGAAACCATATGTAGATGCTGGCGTGTTCTAAACATGTCCCTCGTGACAGTTGTTTTGACGACAGCCTCCCTCCATTCTGAAGAACAAAGAAGCACATAGTTGCTCGTCGGAATTGTTGTTATGTGTGAAATCGTGTAGTTCTAAAACAGTTGACGTACAGCTATGGCACAATTAGCGCATCTCTCGAGAGACCAGTTTTCAGTCCCGATGACTTCTGTTCGTATATTTCTTCGTTTTACTAACTCCATTTAAATGCTTAGTGATTTTACCAACCACTTTCTTTCCTCGTAACTTAACGCTAGTTTTCACTTTGAGATAACATCCATTCGTGTGTTTGGACTTTTAAAAGTTGATAACCTAACATGAGAATAATGGATGTTGCATGTTCACAGTTTGTACTCCGAGTTATGTTGGGGTGAGTAAGTTCAGGAGATTTAGATGAAAGGTAAATTCATGGAGAACCCAATAAAATCATACGGCATTTAGGTTTGAATATCTAACGGTAGATGCAATAGCTGTGATCCTCGAAGTAGGTGTTGGTCCGTCCTATTGTAGTGTTACGTTGGCTGTCTTCACAGCAAACTTAAAATTCATCCAGTCACAGTAATACGAAATTTCGCAGCAGAAATGTGCTTCTTCAGCAATTTTAAATGGTTTATCTAGTTCCCAGATACTCCTGTAAAGTATGTACAGCTTTAAAGCCCACACATCAGCCATGATTATTCTCATTCGGACGGTACTGACAAAATGTTTGCCTGCAGGGGTCGTAGCGTCCGTCGCTACCTGTTGGTTTAGAATATCCGGGTTATAAGGAAAGGGCTCATGATTTTGACAGTCGTTCCCGGTTCACGATAATAATGGGGCGTGTCTCAGGTGATTCTTCGTAGATGAGTCGATAGGCGAATGGTTAGCACACCGCATCATTCTCCCGACTTGCTTTATACGCGTGCGCAGAGGGCCGTAACTAAAATGAAAGTAACATTTTATGGCTGAGAAGTTTGACGAAAAGTACTTTTTATATGCGGAGAGATTCGTGAAAGATATGAGAAATACGTACAAAATTTTGATATGGAAGCCTGAAGGGAAGATATTAAAATGGGTCGTACTTGTTAGGGAAATCAGATGTGTGCATTGGAGTCATCTGGCTCAGGGCGAGCTCTTGTGAACACGGTAATGAACCTTGAGATTTCATAAGATCCACACTGGATTTATTACTCGACAAGATTTCATCGAGTGAAAACTTTTAAGTCTTATAAAATATTTGTTGTGGATACAGATATTTTTGGGTGCTATTTTATCTCCATATAAAAGAACGGGCAAAACTAATTTATAAAAAATTTAAACGAGGTATCGTCCTTCGGAATCCTAAAATACACCACACCTGCTTGATAAATGTGTCTGTGTTGCGGGATACGACTGCTGAGTCACGTTTCCTGAGCACTGCGGGCTGTGAACCTTGGCATGTGCCGTTACTTTTGGGCAAAAAAGGTTCGTTATAAATTTGTCGTAGTACTTTTGTTTTGGAGGATAAGATACAGGAAGTAATGAACCAAGGGCGTACATTGTAATTTCTTTGTTGGGTATTGTCCAAACAGTTTCTTTAAAGAAAAAACTTCTGCCTTGTATAGCGCTTTAACATTTACTAGGTGAGCGGGTTCGTGAGTGTATAAAATCATCAGGCATCTCACAGTAAGTAAGAGTTTTGAGTGATGGCTTTTCAAGGATTCTTCTCCACGGAGTTACTTACTTTACTTACTTTGATTGTTATGTTGCGACTATAGTGAACATTCGTTGAATGAATAATATCATAAGATGAGATTCTAGGTTTTCACGGCGATGGGTATGAAGATGGCTGACTTCTGGGTAGTTGCGCCGTGTAGTCTGGTAGAAATTTCCCGACGTTTCAGCGCAACATCCCGAAGAAAGTCGTCATAAAATTTTACGATTCTGAAAATTTTGTTAAATGTTCTCACTAATAGAACTTCAAACGACTGAGCCTGTAAAACGTTTATTGTTCTGTAGTGTGATAAATTCAGCATGCTAGGTTGTTGATCATAGATTTGATGCAGGTATTATGCAGAAAACGCTGGATGCTTCTTCGCGTGTGGATAAATTACGCTAGGTCAGGAACACGGAGCGAAGTTATAAACTTGTTACACAGATAGGAAAATAGGACTAAAAGGAGTTCTGACACTCATCCTTTGGGTAGTAAATCCTAGTAGAGTATCAGGATTGTTATGAAATACATACTATAGCTGAAGTCTGTAATGGATCCTGTTTTAGCAAAGGCGGCTCATTTATTAAAACTTACGTATCATTGGCAGAATCAGACGCCCCATAGGTGAGTCCATTCGGTATCAGTTTACAACAACTTGTTAAAATATACGTATTTGTTGTTCAGATTACGCGTTGGCGAAGGTGAAGTTTATTGACTAGAACGAATCGTAAAATATCCCACGATATCAGTAATAATTATATGAACGATCTTTTGAATATTTTATTGTAATTATAAAGTACCATTAAACTGTCACGAGGTATAGTGTTCTTATATCTGTTTTTTTAAATTTATATTTTTATTTCATAGTAAACATCTGTTTTTATTGTTTATAGTCAGAATATCGCCTCCCCGATCGTAGGTTGTGGTGAGATGCGATCTAAATAGCAAAGCGGAACGGTTTGTGAGAATTAAGTAGAGCAGAAATATGCGGAACGATTTGACTGAAAACGCAAGATAACGCCCGATATTAAATGGTACAGTGAAATTGCTTTCCCAGAAGGAAAGTCGACGAAGAGGTGACCATAGAACGTGTGAGTTAGGCTTCAGGACCTGCAGAATGTGAACATACAGTGTTATGGATCTGTTAGCAGTGGGCGCGTGATGAATTGACATATTTGTAAGAAGGAAACTTGAAACGATGCTGGAGTTTGTGAAACGTGGAAATGTGGACAATGCGCCACCAGCAAGATACTACGCTCAGTATATGAACGTAAACAGCAACAGACATGGCAGTGTGAGAGAACAACAGTGCCAGCATTTTGCCGCCAAACTCCTCTGCTCTCTTCACTGTGTCGATAGATATGCGAAGGAACAAGCGAATAATTCTTGGCGGTTTCATGTTGGAAGGTAGGTGGAACTGTCTTAGTGTAGTATAAATACATACGATAATTATAATATCTAATTCGGAGAATGTGCGGTGGAAACGTTTATTTTAATCTAAATAACATATATTTTAAATAGGTCTACGTTCTTTGAGATTTTTCATCCTTTATTGATATTGATGTTTTTTTCATGGAGAGACAAATCAGTTCTTGATAAAGAGTTAGTAAACGTGGAAGATGGCTGTTCTTTGGGATGTTGCAGACGTTTCAGAGGTGCTGACAATCTCTATCATCGGCAGTGACACGGTCGGTCAGTTAATTTCCTCGTGATTACACAGCGCAACATTCCAGAGAATAAACCATCTTCATACTCGCTTTCGTGAGAACATGAAATCTCAGAGTACATTGAGTTAAAAATGTTGTTTCGTCAGTCAGCCCCGATCTGCGGTATTGATTTATACTGCATGGGGGTATTACGTGTTTCAGAAACTGGTATAACAGCTAAGACCTGTATGTGACACATGGATTTTATGTCAAGTTCTAATTTTAAGTACGAAGAGAAATGTTAGAAGGGACTGCTTGAGATTCCCCTGATGTGTGGTTTATAGTGGACCACTGCCCAAGCATTATCCCTTGAAAACGTATGGAGATCGGAAGTGAAGCTCCACACGTCCTTAACCCTGGCATTAGACGGAGTTGAACGGCCATCTCTACGCTCTAACCTTCACAAAATGATTACTCGGTAGTTGTTAGGTAGGGTGCTGATATTGACGAAATAGAATTTAAGATACGTTTCAAGATTCATGACTAAACCGAAATAATGCATGTGCATAGTTTAAATTCGGGATGGATGTATAACAGAAAAGCAAATAGTAGCTACATATGCTCGGTGCTTACAGATCGAGTGAAATTGTTCTGTTCGGAACATGGGAACCAAACACGTTCCCCAGCTTAAAAAGAAATTTCTCCATGTACAATATTTTTTGTTATTAGCCTTCGTTTCTGTTGTTGATTTAACGTAGACCTATACTGTGGTAGTCTCGTGTAATTACCACCAGTAGCAGGTCTATCGATCGTGGGGAGTGGTGTTGCATGGAGCACATACAATTTTTTTTTGCATTTTTACACAAAAGGGCTGTTTTTATATGGAAATGTTTGTGTATCGCAGCCTCGCCCAAACAAAACTTCTGTAGTTACCGACTCGTGACACATCGCGATAAGAAAATGCACAGTGAATTTTCGAATGGTATTCCTGGCCGACACTTGACTGCTAGGGTCAAGACCGTGAACATGAACCTTAAACAAATTAATATTGTTGCATGATTAATGAAAGGTCTTGTTTCGCTGTCAAACGCTAACAATTCTCAAATGGCACGTCGGCCACAGTTAAGGGGTTTGTGTGGATAGCGACACAAGTCCAGATTTAAATTTGGGGGGGGGGGGAAAGGCAAAAAAAATTTTTTT